CTGTCCGGGCTGTTGCCCCGGGCTGTCTGTGGGGTTGTCCGGGCTGTGCTGTTAATTTGTCCGGGCTGTTGTCCGGACTGTCTGTGGGATTGTCATGTTTGTTTGTCCGGGCTGTCCGGGCTGTTTGTGGGGTTGTCCGGGCTGTATTGTCCGGGTTGTCCGGGCTGTCCGGGCTGTTGTCCGGGTTGTCCGGGCTGTCCGGGTTGTGGGGGGTCGGAAGTGACACCTTTTGGGGGGTCGGAAGCGACACCGTTACCATCGTGAAGCATGGCTCTGTAATGACCTGAAGAGATATCGTGGCCATAGTGTGAGATAGCCCCGATCGCCGATAATAGTGTACAAACAGATACGTGTTTCCAGACTGTTCTCATTCACAAAGCAAGGAATAGTCACAGTAAAAAGTTGCAGATTCACCGGCATCTCAAGTTTGAAAGCGGCGTCACAACTGAAGCCGAACCTTGGGAAGCAAATGCTCAACATTTGTGGTGGCTCGGATAGTGCGTGGATGGCCTCTTGGGAACTCCACTGATCCACCACTGTTTGAAGAGAGCACTCCTGGAGACGTGCGGGCGGTGTCATCAAGATGGGCGTGTAAGATCGTGTAAGTGTCTGTGCTATCCCTGAGCTCCAGACTAAGAAGCTTCGCCTGCCATGATCCCCGCATCGACGGAGGCTTCGCCTGGGTGAACAAATGCGCATGCCACTCTTGTACATCTTGCTGGTGGCGAAAGTTTCGCCATACCTGATAAAAGCGTCGCCAAAACAAGAGCTCCAGAAGATCGAGCATGCCCTTGCTCGAAAAAGCAACGGTGACAATGTCCAGTATCAGTATCTTCATCAATCGGTTTGTCATCCATGCGATTCTGTCCCTACTTGTCATCACCTGCCACCATCGCGTGTAGTTTGAGACTCTTTGCTTTGTTTTCTGCCTCAGGGATGGACAGGCATCGTCGTTCCAGTGAAAACCTTATGGATGACTTTGTACTGAGAGTTGCTGAGCAGATCACAAAAATGCACGAAGAGCTGACTCAGGCCCACTACGAGCACACATGAGACCGGGCCGGAGAAAGCTATGTGGTCTGACAACAGGTTGACCAAGGACTAAGTGTAGCTGCCGGTCTGTCCCAAGTTGTAGAGATGTTTTCGTGTGTTATAGAATGGCACTACGCTACATGTCTGGGTAGTTTAAACCGGGTTCTCCATTGTCAGGAGAATCAGGGCTACACAGAGGCGGCATCAAGTGGAGTAGGAGGACTGGCTGATTGCCCCTTCATTGATATGCCGTGCTGTAGGATAAGCTCAGTGCCTTTCTGACACCTGTGAAGGAATCATGGCCGATCACAGCGGTTCAGGCCGCCCGCGATACGAGTCACAGCCAAGCTGAATGTCACAGTCGCGTTTCCTTCTTCAGCAACTGTTTGGAAGTCACGTGCTTGGAATGTGTTTGAGCACATGTACAGACTCGCACGATGGGGTGGCATGGCGACTTTGTATCGGACACCGATGCGCCCTAAACCCGAAGTCTGCAAACTTCTGCCCGAACTCATGTGCCCAACCCTCACCGCAACATTTGGAGCGATGTCGAAATCACGCGCGAGCGCAGCATGCAGGGATTTTCTCCTACCAAGCCAGGCAGGCTGCAAAGCCCGCTGTAACTTTGATAAGTCACTGTGACGACGGCTGCTTTTGGGCAAGACATGTTAACTTGACACGCCAGCTTTTAAACGTCAGGGAATGGATAGAGCTGCCCGGCAAGTAAACAACCTGGAAGGCAAATTTTACGCAGCCTTCTGCAAAGGCTTCTGACAGGTTGAGGCAGCTTTTTTGGTGGGTTGGTTGGCTTTTGATGTCTTATGACTCGCTTTCGCGTTGTCTGACTTTGGCACAGCGTCTTCCGACCTTTGGGCATTTCGCGACTCGACCGTTGCTCCAGTCTAGGGCGACGTGAGAGAAGGAGGAGGGGGCCTCGAGAGCGATAATTACTTGTTGGGAGGGTGCGGGGGGGTGGGTTGTGGGGTGTGGATCATGGGGGTGGGCTCTGCAACAATGCAGGGAGAAGATAAGATGAGGAAGATGACGGGGCGAGCGCATGAATGAGGGGGAGAGGGCAGGGCGGGACGAGGAATGCATCAGGAATGGGCCTCCAGAGCTGGGAACACGCCACCCGAAACCCAGGCCGAGACCCCAGGGTCGCCACCGCCAAATGAGCCATTCTTAGGGGCAAAATTGAAGCACAAAACTTGCCAAATAACGAGTTGAGATAGCGGCAGTCTGGCATGCACAGCTGGGCATGGATTCTTTGAGAAGTGCGTCCTTAGCATAAAATTGCATAAACTCAAACCATGCAGACCACGACACATTGCTACGTGAGCAGTGCTGGAAGGCTCAACTCGCACCAGCATGAAGCAAGAACAAGGAACATCAGGTGCTGAACTTTGCACACTGTCATTTCCATAGCCTGCTTTCTACGTCCGCTTCCAGGAGACGTTGTAGAAGGGGCACGATCAAGTTCATGTCTCGGAGGCAAGTTGGAAGGTGAGTTTTTGGCGTCGGCTGTGTCATTTTTCTTCCTGGGCCACGCAACTGATATGCGAGATGCTTCCGTGATCTTCAGTGTAGGCGGCAAGGATGGCGAGGTGATGGATTTGACTCAGGTTGGGCGATTGCTTGCTGCTAAGCGTTCTATTCGCACACAGCAGCTGGCCCTCACCGCGATAATGACACCATGTTGGTCAATGCTAGACCCGTCGACGTGGCTTCCGGCTTCGAGGGCATCGCCTCTGGCGCCGGCGAGGCGAGGTCTCTCAGTGTTTTGCAGTAACTTGCAGTCTATTGTTTGCAAAGCATAGTGATGCAGGATTTGTGGTGCGAGCAGTGATGCGTTTCTTAGCGTCACTTGTGTGAGAGCGGAATTCACACCCGGATGCACACATCCGTAGCAGACAAAACGGAGGCGCATGCAACGTCGCAATCATGTCGGGTAGCTAGGCCACGCGGCCTAGATACTGAAGACAGATCACCTCTGAACCTGCATGCCGCTGACCTTCTGGCAGGATTCTCAGCTTTAGCTTTGCAAGTCCTTGGCCAAGTGTTGCGACACCATTCCACTGTTACAGTACACACATGTGCGCAATACTTCAGGGGCTTTTTATCCGGCGCCAATTTTGAAAAGCATTTTTCAGATCTAGTGCCAATGTTGTGGGGCCCTCAATCCATCTCTTCTGCTCCGTGGCCATGTGGCAAGTCCTCAACAACTTCCAGGCCGGAGAATGTAGGGCCTGCATGTGTTTTTGAAGGTTGGCAGTTTAAACCTGCAATGCGTCGCCATGCGTTGGGCAGGAGGCGCCGGGCCCGGTGTCCAGTGCCTCCGTGACTGAGGCTCGGGTCTCGTGGGTTTCGGGATGTCTTCACGTAGTGTGCACATAGTGTTCAGGTACGGTTCACATCACGTCACAACATGTCGAGACGTGCCACGCCCAAATCCGATCGAAGGCCGTGAAAGAGGACATCGTGAAGGAGCTCATCAAGGCCTTGCTACAAACTTGGAGCACATCTGTGTGTGTGTGTGTGTGAGTGCCTTTTTGCGTGTGTGCGCGTGTGCGTGCGCAGCCGCTTTTTCCAAGCGACAACGCCTCACTCATGCAAAAGGACTTTCTTTAGAGGTCCTGTTCTTTCTGGCAGGCGGCCACTGCGTCAGATTCCATACCATGCCTAACAAAGCTATGGACTCTGACGGGAAACGGTTACCGCAATCTGTATCCTTTGGTAGGCTTGTGGCAGCCTTATCAGAAGAAACCTTTCCTTGCTTTAGTGTGTGTGTCCTGAAATCTTCATTTGCTCATTACATCCTTCCTGTGAGGAGTGGCATGAGTTTCGTGTGGGACTTTTGCACGAAGTCAAGCAACTGGTCCTGGAGATGAAGGCACCAGATGCCCGGCCAGTTTGTTGGCGTTGGCAGGTATGGTCGGGTTGTGTTTTGTGTCACGAGTCATGAGTCATGCATTTCAGGCACCACAGGCTGTACCGCTTGAACAGGCGCCTGCCTCAGGGTATCTGCGGGGTTGGCAGCAAGCTCGGTCATGTTATGTAAGATAGATCACTTGAACGATGAACGGTGGCCACCGATCTTTGCAAGAGCACCCAGGTCAAGGTGCACCAGATGGATGCGGATGAGGAGTATACTGAGTGAGTGTACTGTAGCCGCAGTGCAAAGAGGCACCGACGATCTGTGCAGCACGTTGTGTCGTGCTGGCGGCAGGACCCGGCACCACCCACTGAGATCATCGAGCCGGAGCCGGACGAGTGCCTCACCCCTCTTGACTCCGAGTGCGGACTGAGAAAGCTCAGCCAGGCCCAGGCAGGTGCCATATGCTGACACCGATTCGCTCTTGGGCAAGCTCCCTGAGACGCATGTTTCATCATGTTTCACAGGTCCAAACCGCCAGCCAGATGTTTTTGGAGGCCTGATCGGGAGCGCAGAACACCAAAGATGCCGATCTCTATTCAGATGCTTCAGGAAATGGAATCTGATGTGCAGAGACCTTGGACCGCTTTAGTTTTTTCACAGTTTTAGCCATGTGTGCTTTGCGAGTGCTGCAGCCTGAAGAGGTGTGACACCTCCATATTGTCAGAATACGGCGCTGACTGGAACATGGTGGGAACAGGCAGAGCATGCAGTTGATTGGTATGTGTCCTTGAAGAGGCTTCCGGAACCCACAAAGGGCTCAAATGCCAGCTTCTTGGAAGGAAGTGCCCCACGGACGGAGCCAGGGCCTTGCTAGTCGGAAATAGTCGAAACACACTTTCCTGCTTGGCTTCGGGTTCGGACCAACGCCAGGCAGCCGTACGACCTTCTCACGCTGTTGCCGCCGTTGCTGCAGTTGCCCATGCTTGAGATGCTTCAGGCTCCCAACTGCACTCGTGGCAGGGAAAATCGTTCAGAACAGCAGCCGCGCAAGTACTTGAGACTCGAGGTAAGTGACATCTTGCAGCTCCGCGTGGCATCTTGCGCTGCTGTGGATGGCCAGGTCACGCTGCGCCAGACATTTCTTCGAACCATTACAATCATTGCGAGTCTGCGACGCTGATTAATTGAGGTGATTGGACATGCCGTTTGTTGATTCTCCTGCAGGCGCTTGCGCATCACCTTGCGCAGGGTGCAGAACTGTCAAGGCCAAGCAGACGTGCAGAGCATCAGTGGTTTCGTGGCTACTCGTGCTTGCCAGCGCAGGCCGTCTTCGCTGATTGCAGTATGGCCCACGATTCGAAAGGCGCAGGAATATCTGCGACCTACCCCTGCAGTATTTCAGCACCGCGCATCCCGAGCTCACTGGCGGGATGAGATCCACTTCACCTTGCAGAGCAATCCCTTGCTGCAGAAGCGTTACTGGTGCTGCTTGCCGGAAGTAGCAGCAGCACGCCGGTGACAGACCTTCGTGAGTTACATGTGACCCAGGATTTATTCACTCCTTAGGCTCGAGGCAATTTACGAATGAGCCCCTGAGGTTTGGGATGTTTGGGGTTGCATACTGCTTGGTGAGCCAGATCGTTGTGAGCTTTTGTCCATGTCGGGCTAAGCGAGTGAAAGATAAGATTTGGACCTCCTCGCCTCAGCATGTGCCTGAGCTGCCCTGCATTGCAGCGTGGAAATTTAAAATGTTATGATCAACAAATTGCAGAAGAATTTGGATGAATCTGTAGGGCGCAGCTGCTTGAAAGACGCGGGTTAGAATACAGCAGCAAGCACTCGCACCCTGCAGCCAACAACCCGGAAATTGGTTTGAAGAGAGACTTGTCGTTTGCCATTCAGTCAGGCCTTCTGCATGAAAAGCTCCCCTTTCAAAGAGCCTCCGAGAAGGACTTCTGTTAGGTTGTGTCTCAAACGCTGATAAAACAATGCCTACTTTGCGACCTACCTTCTCCTGCTGCAAAAACGTGTTCCGTGGTATTCTTTGCGGCATGTGTGTTCTATCTCTTGTCATGGACATAGCTTGTAAGCTGGCATTGACTCCATTGACGCTGACCACCGTGTTTGCCGCAAAAATTTGCGTGTATAAAGAACTCGTATGTATCATATGCTGCCTTTTTGTTCAGGCATCGCCTCCGCAGCTAAATTTCACCAAGGAGCTGCGCGCAATCTGCCGGTTCGACCATTTTCGACCCACCATGAAGAAATCCAAACTCATAGTGACTGGAAAAGGGCAAACAGCATACCTTAAGGTTTCTCTTCAGAGCACACAGTCGGCTGCGATCGCTAGCATAACGTCCGTGATGCAGTCGAGTGAGACACGAACATGCTAAAGCTGAAGTGCTGAGGCTTCCAGTGGTGCTCCGCTCAGACACGGGCCAGCCGATGTCCGTGGAGTGAAGCTGCTCGTGAACATGCTTTGCTTGCAGTCAATGACCTCTATGGCATTTGCTGCGAGTCAACCGGTCAGGCTAATTACTGTGCCCTTGACCTTATGGGGCTTCTGGCGCTCAATAGCTGCGAAGAGGTACAGCACACGGTCATACCAATCGTCCCCTCACTGTTGCAATCCATTTGGTCTACTGGGATCGATGATGTCGTTGCATCAAAGGCTCGGGAAATGGTGGCCGCCTCCCATCGTGTTATGGAAAGTTCAGAGAGGGAGCGATGCGTCGGATTGGCAACGAACTTGCTTCTCTACGCAGTGAGTCAAAGACGTGAAGGCATGGTGGATCTTGCCGTCCACATGCTAGAGCTGTTGTGTGGTGATTTAACTCCGGCACAAGCTCGAGCCAGCTTCCAGAGCGATATCAGCAAGGTAGATCGCCTTGTGGAAACCATGTTTCTGAGTGATACTGAAGAAGTTCCAGGGCAAGTTCTGCGCTCCGTTTTGCGATTCCTGCACTTTTATACCTGACACTGGGGTGGTGATGGATTTTGATGGAACATCAGTGGCTACTTGCTCGTGGTTGCCAAAGTCTGCCAGAGTAGGCATTCTTCTGGTTGGCGACCTGACTTCCTGCAGCATCTCACATCGCGACCCGCAAGCTCACGAATGAGACCCACCTTAGATTGGCGAGCAACCACATGCAGCGGAAGTGTGCTTCTGACGCGACAACAGAAGGCGACGTGACATCTTGATGCGCATCAAGCCCATACTTGCAGCGACTGGTGTCTGCTTCGGCCAACGTTTAAAATCGCATTCGCACGGATGTGATGCTTGCTGCAGCTTTCTCATGTGTCTGCATTTTCTCCGCCCCGCTCATATGGGAGTTTACGAACATAAGAGACCTCGAAAAAGACACCCAATAATAGGATTCCCTTCTCATAAGGACCCCAACAAGCCCTCTGCCCCGCAGTGCTGCTCATGCCGTAGGCGCATCTTTTCAGCAATGGCGACACGAGCAGCGACAGCAACAGGGCTCTCAGGTTGACCTTGCTGCTTGTAGATGATGTTTTGCTGCGATAAGGCCCTTGGCCCTCAATGGCTTTATATAGCTTGTTGTGTGAAGCTGCTGTGGCAAGCAAACGTAACCGTACGAAGAGTCTGAGAGAAGTAACCTGAGCGTGTATCCCCTCGTAAGGCGTACAGGAACGCATGTGTCTCTTTTGCTACAGGCGCACAAATGTAGATCAGTACTCTGCTAGAACCGTGAGCAACATTAACAGGCATGGATACATGCAAGTGATACGTGAAACAGACAGGCACCTGGACCAGGCACAAATTTGAAATCACGCAGAGGTGCATGGCCGTGAGTCGGCTATTCGACATTGCCTGTTACTGCCATCCCAGTCAAGAGGACTGGATGCGATGGCTAGAGCCTGCATTCCGGACCTTTCCTGACGTTGAAGGTCTGAAGGACTCCGGTCATATCAAGTTCAAAAGCACTGACGTCAAGCTGGCAGTCGCCATGACCGTTTTGTTGATAGCTGCTGGTGAACAAGCATCAGATTTGAATTTGGAATTGAATCGAAAGGCCAATCAGAATGTACGCGAGAGCGAGAAGATCATTAAAGTCATTAAAGGTCGACAAAACATTGCGATGATGTACGAGAGCTTCCGCACACGTGATCGACTGGACTGGATTGTGTCCTTGGAGTACCTCTCGGTTTGTGGCCAAAACCAAGGGGTGACAGGACCGCGGCCTTCCTTCACCTATCTGTTTGTGGCCAAAACCGAAGGGGTGAAAGGACCGCGGCCTTCCTTCACCTTTCTGTTTGTGGCCAAACCACGGGGTGAAAAGACCGCGGCCTTCTTTGAGACACCACTCATGCGCCCTGCAGCGCCCTTCACTCCCAGCCTGGGGCCCAGGACCTGTTTGGTTCTGCGGAAGCGAAGCTGACAAACAGGCCTGCAAATCTCCAGGGACAACTGGCAGAACTGCATGCGCACTCTGAACTCCGCCACCCTATGGGTTCAGCGATGCAAGAGAATCCACCAGAGCCCCACCAAGACATCCCCGTGAACTCCCGCAACCCCTCTTCGCCAGAACATCCCGAAGATACACAGTAGTCTCATCGCGTCACAGCCTGTTCTCAACGATATATGATGCCTGGCAACTCTGGCATCTTCCTCCCCAAGCAGCAGCATCGCGCGCAAAAGAGCAGCCTGTTCATCCCTAGACTCCATGTGGTTCGGAGCCTGCATGGCAGCACCTGGCGATCTTTGAGGCTCGCTTTAATTTGGGGCGTCTCCATTCAAGAAGTGGCCAAAATTCTCAACTGAGTGGTTTCAGATTCGCATTGGGCATCTAGTTTTGCACGCGCACTACAGATGCAAGCATGTTTGGCGCAGCTGTAGGCCGCGCAGGACAGTCGGTTCGGGCATTCCTGTTTCCGGTCGTGTTTTGGTCAGGCATCTCTGGAGGCATCGCTGTGACTCCTCGTGTATTTCTTGTCCTGCCTTACCTTTCAGTTTCTTGTCCTACCTCCCCACGGCTGGTTGAACGTCCACGTCGCATCGTTTTTGCCCAACTTTCTTGACCTTGATTATGCATGCAGGCTGCCGCTGCTGCATGCTGCCGCCTGCCTAGGAAGGGAGAGAGACGTCAAGGGGATCTTGGAGGCTGACTGTTGCGGGCTGCAAGTGTATGCGCGGATGACCTTTGGACACAGTTGCATCAGTAAACCTTCGACGGCATGGGCCGGAGGGTGCCTTGTAAGAATAACTAACACACGAGGGGCCACTGTATCGTTGCGTGCACACAGCCACTGCTCACTGCGTTTGTGGCCCCTTCAAGCACAGCGCCAGGAAGATTAGTGTCGCCAAAAACACAACGAAGCCTCAGTTGGATGTTTGCGCTGTCACAGCTGCCAAGACTCCCACCACCACCCCCCACCCCACCCCACCCCACC